AACGCGTTTTCTGGCTAAACTAGAAGAGATAGAGCGATTTTAAGTGTTTTTTGTGATCACTGGGAGTTCACAGATTCCACCAATATATGATAATAGGCTGTAGCAAAAATATTTTTGGAGATATTTAAAAAAATCTTTTGCAAAACTTTAAACGCGTTTTCTGGCTAAACTAGAAGAGATAGAGCGATTTTAAGTGTTTTTTGTGATCACTGGGAGTTCACAGATTCCACCAATATATGATAATAGGCTGTAGCAAAAATATTTTTGGAGATATTTAAAAAAATCTTTTGCAAAACTTTAAACGCGTTTTCTGGCTAAACTAGAAGAGATAGAGCGATTTTAAGTGTTTTTTGTGATCACTGGGAGTTCACAGATTCCGCCAATATATGATAATAGGCTGCAGCAAAAATATTTTTAGAGATATTTAAAAAAATCTTTTGCAAAACTTTAAACGCGTTTTCTGGCTAAACTAGAAGAGATAGAGCGATTTTAAGTGTTTTTTGTGATCACTGGGAGTTCACAGATTCCGCCAATATATGATAATAGGCTGTAGCAAAATATTTTTGGAGATATTTAAAAAAATCTTATGCAAAACTTTAAACGCGTTTTCTGGCTAAACTAGAAGAGATAGAGCGATTTTAAGTGTTTTTTGTGATCACAGATTCCACCAATATATGATAATAGGCTGTAGCAAAAATATTTTTGGACATATTTAAAAAAATCTTTTGCAAAACTTTAAACGCGTTTTCTGGCTACACTAGAAGAGATAGAGCGATTTTAAGTGTTTTTTGTGATCACTGGGAGTTCACAGATTCCGCCAACATATGACAATAGGCTGTAGCAAAAATATTTTTGGAGATATTTAAAAAAATCTTTTGCAAAACTTTAAACGCGTTTTCTGGCTAAACTAGAAGAGATAGAGCGATTTTAAGTGTTTTTTGTGATCACTGGGAGTTCACAGATTCCACCAATATATGATAATAGGCTGTAGCAAAAATATTTTTGGAGATATTTAAAAAAATCCTTTGGAAAACTTTAAACGCCTTTTCTGGCTAAACTAGAAGAGCGATTTATTTTTAACTTTTTAACAAATTCTAAATCTAATTTCTAAATAGAATTAATTGTAGTTTTTATAAATTCATAATGCAAATATGTAAGGGTATGCTAATTATATTTTGTTTAAACTTTAGGAAAACAACTATACCCTTTAAGGAGTTGGTTGGAATACCTTAGTTATGTCATATGCGTAGGTATTTAGTAGATGTTACAATATTTACAAAATGATCTTAAATTAAAATATTCAAAGGTAAACTCAAATATTTGTATATGAAATTAATGGAAAACTGTTTTGTTAAAATTTTCTATTTATATTTTGTATTAAATTAATTGAAAAAATAAATAAACATGTTCATTTCTCTAACTTTAAAGTCAACAAAACTAAAGTCAATAAAAAAAGGTAAGAAAAGTTTTCCTGTATGAGAAAATCAAATTTACACAATGTATTGGTAGTGTGTTTTACTTGAACCTTAGAAAGCATCGGAATTTGAATTTGTCCGTGTGTTTGCACATTACAGTTAAATTCAAGAATAATAGAACACCAATTATTTAAAACAATAGCAAATAATAAGGCGTAAGTGGGCAATGATTTCTAAATTTTCTTAACTCCGAATTGTGGTGAACAACTTTCATATTATAAAGTAATAGATTTCACAGCGATCTGATGAGTCGTCTCCCATTTTGATGCTATTTATTTTATTTGCTTCCTGTTGGTGCAATGTGTTTTATTTTTTCAAAAAATGTAATAAATTAATCAACTTTATGGGTACATATCAGATCTCAATTCGATTTTGGACATTATAATTGGATTGATTCCACATATCACCACGAGTTCATTATTTTTACGAATATAATTGAAGCGTTTTCCTCCCGAAATATTTCTATAAGTATTCTTTGACTGAGAATTATGATATGCTGAGCAATTTTTATTTTTTTTTTTCTCAGAAAATTTTGGTTATATGCAATACAACTCTTTGTTGGCTTCCCAAGATTAATAATTTTGTTAGATTTTTACTATTTTTTCTTTTACTAAGTTAAGCTCTTTCAAAATGTTTTTTTGAATCTTAAAGAAATATTCAATTTTACACCAAGCCTTAAACTTTAAATTCAAAAAAATCTATAATATTTCTCAATTGCAATTAATTTGTAATTTTCAATTTGGACCGTAAAAAATATAAAAAAATTGCCTAAACTTAGGCGACTTTCTAAAAAAAAATTAAAGATTTTAAATTCAAAGAACAGGCGATCAACCCCAACTAAAAAAAACCACCCTCATTTCCAATAAAAAAAAAAAATTGCTTGAGGCGAAAATCTTTTCATTTTCTTTTTTTTCTTTTGAAAATTTTTTTGTTTTTTGAATTTTTCATTTTTTTTTTTGCCTTAAAGGTAAAGAACAACAAGTGATATGAACAAAATTTATTTTCACAGTCACCGGAAGTGAAATGAATAATAAAAAGAAATGTCATTCATAATTGATCAAGTTTAAAATTCTGTTTTTTTTTTTTTTAATTTTTATATCCTTTGATAACTACACCAAATATCCTTGAGCATTCAAATGAATTCATCCTATACATGTAAGTTGAAAATTTCATTTCATTAGATAAAATGGATGAAAAAATGTTCTTGAATCGAATACATTAATAATGTGAACCTTTAAGAAAATGTTTGATTGATTTATTTATTTTTTATCGAACGAGTCTTATGAAGAATGTGAATTACTTTTACCATTCACAAGGTTATATGTGGCATTGGTTCAATGTCTTAAATGTGTATTAGTTCCCCGAGTATAGTATCAATTAAGATGAACGTGTATGTGGCAGATTACTTTAATTTTTAATATAGTAGGCTGCCCCGTAAGAAATAGTTCTTATTTCCAATGTGTTCTGTAACCCGTTGCGTTGCATGCTTTCTAGTAATTTAATTCAATTTTCATTATATGCATAAATTTAACTTTGAAATTATTTTCGGAAATTTTTTTTTAAATTTTATTATTAGCATTTAATTTTAATATTTATTCAATTATCACAAAAGTCTTTTATAAATAGAACAAATTCATTTATTTGCTGTAATACTTAAAGAGTTATGCATAATAATTATTTTAAGTTTTATAAAAATATTGCATGCTTTTAGGCGATTAATAAAATTTTTTAAATTCCATTTACCTATACACTAGTTAGCTACATTATTAAAATTTTCTTTTCTATAGTATGTTCTATAGAGACTGTATATGAGTTGTGTAAATGCAAAAGAAGTTCTTAATTTCGATAAGCAGGTACAAAGAGACAAAAATCCCGTGATGAACCCAATGGTTTGTATATAAAAGCACATTTTACTTTGATTATTTGAGTGAAAGACGGGAACTTTTTAGAGCTTAAATGAGTCGATTAGAGAACCCCTCCACAAGGCGGAGTTTTATTTAGAATCGGACCACATACTCGGACACAGAATCGGACTCAGAAGATATATCCGTAACCTGGGCCCAGAATATGAAGGAACTTGTTGATTCTTTGTGGGAGATGAGGAATCCTCAGTACATCTTTTTGGTGAGCGTGAAGCTTACCGTCGTGCGAAAGAAAAAATACTAGGGAGCTTACTTACTTACATTGGCGGAATTACGGTCTTCCGAGCCTCATAAGATCCTTGAGTAACGTCGTGAGAAGACGTGCCCCGCACTCAGAGTGAGGGCGCAATAGATCTTTATAGACGGATGCGATTTTCTGTTATCTCGGTAGAACAAATCTACAAGGTCCAATTTTGGCGAAATTTCCTTTGTCTACAAAATTTAAAAATGCTTCTCTCATTATGGTTTAAACACAATAAACTCTCAAAATGAAGGAATTTTAAGGAGAGAATGTTAAGATTTTGTTCTAAAGAAATGATTTTGGAAGTAAGTTTTATTTCCTTGTTTAATTCCTGTTCTTTACGGTGGAACCAGTAGGCAAATATTTTTTTAAACTGCATTAAAATCAAATTAAAGGGCATCACTACAATTTTAACTTGATTTAAATTAAAAACTAGATTTTTCTAAATTTAGAAAATATGAAATAGCAAAAATTATTCGGACTAATTAAATTCATTTTAAAATATTTAAATTTCCAACATGACGTCACAAAAAAAAATATTATTATGAAACATTAAGGATACACAAAAGAAGCGAAAATTAAATCCTGTTTTTTATGTATTTTGTTATTGCATAGGTAAGTACAGTTGAAAGGAAGGGCCTAAAATATTAATGATGAAAATTAAATATGAATATTTTGTTTTCCCTTCATATTAAATTCCTAAATGTACTTGTATGTAAGTATGTGATATAGAGAATATTATGCTATGTGTTTGTATATTGTGCAGGTTAAGGAATCATTTTAGTTTCATTTTACTTTCATTACTTAATTAAATTCATATTTAGTTGAGGTGTTCATTTTAATATTAACAAAAATTTATTAATGTGGTAAGAAGTTTGTTTTTGGTTTTCTGACAACATACACACAGGTGCTGTTATTTGATATTTTTATAAATGTAAGAATTTCATAATTAGTCTTGTTTCATGATTAATAACTTTTAATTGGGGTTGAAGTGTTGAAAGTAACTTTTAAATTAAATAAATTAGATTTCATTTAGTTAAAATGTAATTATTTTTAATATTTCAATTCATTTAAATTGTAAAAGTTTTCGCAAATTAATAATATTGTAAGTAATTCGGATATAAGTGAAATCTGACAATTGACAGGGTTAAGCCAACATTTCTTTTTAATGTGATTACAATCATAAAACAACGTAATATTCAATTTTGAATGATAAGCCGCGGTATTTTTGATAAAAACAGGGTGTAACCTAAAAATTAGTAATTCGTTATTTGGAAGAATCAAATTATGTTAGTCTGCTAGTGGGAATTAAGCTATTTCTTAAATTTTCTTTAAATATTTATGAAAATAATTTGTATTTACCATCAATATTAATGAATAATCAGTTATAACAGCAACTAGTATTAATAGAAACATTCCTAAACCAAATCCAGCTCTATGTAATGCATATGGTATACCTATAACACCACTACCAACAATTGAATTAATATAATTAAATGATGCTTGCGGTAATGAAGATAAATGATCATCTACTGTTGCATTATTTGGCGGTGGTCCTTCCTAAAAAAAAAAAAATATAAAAAATATTTAAATATTAAATTAATTTTAATTTGTAGTAAGCATATTTTGAATGTAATGCCTCTGGATATTTAAAAATTAAATCACATTATTTTTTTATAGGAATTTGAAATGAGCGCCGAAAAGCAGGGTCACAAATATTATGTGTAGTATGTAAAGTGTATCGCATATTGTTTGTTGCTTTAAAGGAAGCGGGGGTGGCGTTATTTTTGGAAAGGGCATAGGGCGCTGAACAAGTAAGAACTCAATTACTTTTTCCTGTATTGCATATATGTGGTAAGTATATTCAGGTTTAGCACTGAAAGGTTTAATATTATTCCTTTAAAATCATTTCTGTGACATGCATACAACTGCTGCAAGATGGGGAAGGCCTCTTTTTTTGATTTTTTATATATGCAAATCAGTGGCGAATGCATTTAAATAAGCCCTTCTTATTTAAAATGGGAATTTGTTGATTTGCATAGCGCCATTCGCCAGCATCATATTCTGTGAGACAGTACCAATGTGAATAAACCTGTTACGCCTTTAAAATTTCTCATATAACTTTCTTGAAAATTTTAATTCTTTTAAAGTTTTAAAGCTATTTTCATTTAAAATTTCAATTTCAAATGAAAGCACTCTATATTCTACCTTGGGCAAATTGAAAAATTTTTACCAAAAATTCAATTAAAAATTCCATCAATTATTGAATGATCAGAATAATTTATTTTTTCGGTTCTATATTAATGAACTGACAGAAATTATTTACCTTTAATTTGTTACGTTTTTTTATTGTAAATTTATTCACAGTAATAACTTCAAAAACCTAGTCCGCATCATGAATGTGTCAACAACAAATTTCATTAACAAAATGACATTATTTACCTATTTTCGTTTTACTATTACTAATCATATATTAAAGGAAAAAAAATATATTGTGAGGTTACCAGGAATTTATTGATGTAGGACATTCAAAATTTTAATAATTAAATATGAAATTATTAAAATAAGAAATGAAATCACGTTCTTCTGTTTCTACTAATTCTCTTTCTCTCTCTCTTTATAAGTGTAGAACCATTATTTATTCACAAAAAGTAGGTAAATAAATTGAGTTATGAGAGAAAATAAATTGCATACAAAAAAAATTTCAAGAGTCTCAAATTAAAAGTCAAGGTTACAACATGTTAACTTTTGTACATGACATCATGTGAGTTAATCAAGTTAAAATATGACATAAAAAGTTACAAAAGAATTTTCTCTTTCAATATTTTTTGTTGTTGTTGTTTGAATTTTATTTCTCACTATATATTCAAGGCATCTAGTGATCACGTTCTTACATTTTACATGTTATTTCTTTATTCGTGTGTGTGTGTGTGTACATTGCGTTAGTAAATATATAATAGTATATTGCGTGTGTAAGTTATATATGTATAATAACTCCGTTGCATATATATACAATAATAAATTTAATGTTATTCTTTAATAATAATGTGATAAATACTTTCTAATCTCAATAAAATTTTTATTTAAAAGGACACAAAAAAAAACAAAATAAAATGTTTTTCTTCTTAAATTTTCTTGTCCCTTATTCTTGGTTAATAAATAAAACTAAATCATAATAATATTTAATTTAATATATGTATTTATGGATATTATGGTAGTGTTATATAAAATACTAAATTTATTGGAGTGTGTGTATTTATTCATTTCATTCAGATAGGCTAAAGAAATAAGATTTATTATTATTTAAGGACTTTGAAAGGATATTGAAAATTGAAAAATTAAATTCATAAATCTTTTATGGTCCTTGAATTTTCTATATATATATATATATATATATATATATATATATATATATATATTAAATGTATAATATTCATTATAAATTCCATTCATTATTTTATAGAAACTAACCAATATTAATACGAAAATGTATGTTATATATATATATATACCTATATATTGTGTTTACAAGCCTATAAATCTATATTTTCATCATCCTCGCACTTATGTATATACAATACTGCACAGTATATACATAATAGGGCAATAGAATGAGTGAATGTCACAGACATTTTGTTTTCTTCTTTCTTTTTTCTATAAATTTAAACAATAATTCGAAAATATATCGATATACAATATTTTCTGATCTATCAATATTATTTAATGTTCGAATCACGAAATTAATGATAAAATATATATATATATATATATAAAGAAAATAAAAATCAGTCGATTAAATTTATGGTTTGTTATCAAGCACATTTCCTACTATATTGATATTATTAATTTAGAGCCTGATCCTATATCTCGCTTTTTTACTTGCCAAATGAGAAGAAAATGAGTAACTATAATATATTTGCATAATTTTTTGAAATTTTCGATTTAATAAGTGAGAAGAATTTTCCGTATTGCGTATCTCTTAAATATTTTATAGAAAATTAATTCACTTTGTTTTGGAAAGTTCACTCGATAATTTGAGAAAAAAAAATGCAATAATTCAATGAGTATTTTATTGGATGAATGAGTTATAAAAAAATGAGTAAATTTATTGGAAAAATAAAATATCTATTACATAAAATGGAGAATTCGGATTTGAAAATGAATATACATTTAGGCTAATATAGAATGTATAGTTATTGCATACTTTAAGGAGGATAAACTTTAAAGAAATCAGCGAAAATCACATATTTAATGCATTAGGTATACGGGTTAGTTAGATTAATAAAACTGATTCCGAATCTATCACTCTTCTTCGTACTAAAATACTACAATTAAACACACTACCGCTCTATATTTTACTCCAAATATTGTAAAATATGGTCGGATAGACGCAATAAAATTAACAAGGACATTCTTGGCAAAATTTATTAGAAATTTACGAAGAAAGGAAGAAATTAGGAATATAAGAATAAATAAAGAACACACTAATTTAATTTAACAAACTCTAGGATACTTAAACAATTATTTAAAAATCAGTCATTTTTAATCAATTCTGAATTATTATGCTATATATATACTCGTATATATAGAAAATTTAATTACAAATCAATTAAATTATTTGATATTAATTATATATAATAAAAAAAAAATTTTTTTATTGTTTATTGAACTAATTGCATTTACATAGGGAATGAATATTAAGAAAATCATTAAAAAATGTGGTAGGATTCAAAAATTTAATATACAACACAACCGATTATAACTCAAACATTATTAAATTTCTATAAGAACTACATTTGAATTAATTATGTATTCACAATTTTCATAATATTTTTTTTAAAAAAAATTTAATATTTCTTGAATAATTCAATTGATTTATTTATTCAGAAACATGTTAAGAATACAAGACTGAAACACAATTGAACATACAATCGGTCACTCTTATAAACTAATTTTACAATAAAATTCACTTGTATTCTCTAAACAAATATTTTAATTTTCAAGAGAATTACAAATGGATGGAGAATTTCTAAAATACAATATTTTAGAAATTTTCTAAAATACAATATTTTAGAAAAATAATTCTATAATGCTAAAATATATGAAGAAAATTAGACAAAACAGGACGAAAACTAGAAAACAAAATCAATTTTTACATGGAAACATTTTAAGCGTTTTATTTAAGGATACCTCAATTATGTCAATCTATAATTTCTCCTATTTTATATAATATTTTTAGCCCTCCCTCTTTATATATATTAAACACGTACATATTTATATACACGTACAATTTTATTTTATTATTGTAAATTCAAAAGGTGTAATTTTTTTTTTAATGTTGCAATGGTTTATAACATTATTATCCTTTATAATATTTTATTGTATATTTACTGGTACAATATTTTAGTATATTATAGAGTAAATTTAATCATAGAAAATGAAAAAGATCAAGTTCAATTTAATGTAAGTTATTTTGTGTTCTTTTATTTTATTTATATAATAAAGTAGGTATCTATGTCGTACAGGTCATACCACGAACAATTCTTTTAATATATAATAAGGATTTTATATATATATATATATAATATAAACGAGTCATTTCAAATTAACAAAGAAATTTTGTTATATAATATTATTATATGCCTTAAAAGTATAAGAGCGTAATATTATTCAAATGAAATGGAAAAATTTAAAATTTTATGAGTTTGTCTAATTGTCAGTTGGTTTAATTTCCAGTTCATTTACAAAATTATTAGAATTTTCTATATTAGAAATTATTAGAAATTTCTAGAAGATTTTTTAAAAATGAAAGAGGAAATTTTGGGAAAAATTGTAGGATTCTTCCTACAAATTGGCGAATTTTCATCACAATACTCAATATTCTTTCATATTTTTAAAATTATTGGTTTCAGTGTTTTTTATTTTTGGAATACTTTGGGAAACAATAATGAAGACAACTATATGCTAACCAAGACCTTAGATGCAAATCTTTCCATTTCATATATTCAAAGAATTCGTGTAATGTTTAATATTACAAAATCCGTGATTAAATCCGTGATATAGATCCGTGATTAAAAAAATTAATCAGTAAATTTTATCTACATAAAAATTTTGACATAGTCATTAAACTCATTTAAATAGAACCACGAATATTTTTTAAAAATATCACTCGACACTAGTCTATTTCGAGTTTATTCTGAACCATTTCCAAGAGCTTATGTCATCATGAAAAACTATAGAATATTTTGAAATAAACCAAACACGAATAAAGTAGAAGAAATTAAGAGCTACACAAAAAAAAAGAAATTAAATAACACCACTTAAATTTATGTGATCTCCTAAAAGTATGCAATTTTTTTTCAAAATAATGTTAAACTAATTGATTACATTTTCATGTAATTATTTTGGAATTGTGAATATGTGAATACTAATAAAAATGATATGTGAATACTAATTTAATGGAAACAACTAGATTTATACATATATATAATAGAAAATATACAAGTACATTATAAATATATTCAAATTATAATTTAGGTTAATTACACGTTAATATTTTC